CTAAACTTTTCTGCTTTATAGTTCTATTGTGCGGGTGGAAGGAAAGCTTCCACTCTCCTCTCTAAAGGTTCACTGCAGCAGTGTACTAACAACAGACAGCTTAACAGGAGAAGGAAAACATGGAACCTCATTAACAGGCATAAACATGGGAGCCAGTCAAAAAATGAGATGGCCAGAAGGGCCAGATGATTGATGCTTAAAGAGCACCCTCTTCTCAGAGAAAAGGGAGATGGAGATGTAGGCAGGGCTGCAAATGATTTTCAGGGGAAATGAAAGAGCCCAAGGAACAAACAGTTGCCTGAGACAAAGTTCCTCTGAGATCGTGAGGAAGAGGCGACAAACTGCAGGAAGGTGAAGGACAGAACTGCACTGCCTCTCATGATGCAGAGAAAGCCCCAGAGAATCTCTTGGAACTGCCCTCTGAAGAATCAATGAAAAGTGTGTCTGGGCAGGGTAATGAGTGGTCATTTCAAATGGCATCATTCAAAGCCCATGTTCCCGGTCGCCACTGGAGAGGGATCAGTATGTCAAAAGTCTGTACTGGGTAAGAATGTGGCTGCTAAATTGTGCCATAATTTGGCTTTTGAGCATTTTTGTCCATTGAGTAAATTGAGCTCTACGTTTTCTCTTGCTGTTCATGACAGTAAAAATGTGGGTGTCTAGGGGCTTAAACATCTTCTGAACAATGATCCAAGAAAAAAGTGCTAATACCACAATGCTTTTTTATCCTCAAGGCAAGAGGAAGTATGTTTTATTTTTACAATCCAGATAATTACACATCATTTGGCACTGCCCTTCAAGATACGCAGAAAACAGAAAATATATGAGTTATGAAGATATCTAGGCACATTGAACAGTCTCTACCCAACTTAGTCCTGAAGAGAGAATTTTTTGATGTGAATTGGGGAAGTTTTTTAATGTACCACTTTTTAAATATTCCATTAAGGAAAGTTCAGTTGAGCTGTTTGACTTGAACCACTTTGCACCTTCTCATCTTTCTCCTGGTTATCTACTCCTCTGTCTCATTATCTCACAAGCAGGGACATCGTGGGTGCCATGAAACGTTCATGCCTCACGGTGTTTCTTTGCTTCTCATTTCTTCATGTGTTTGACATTTCTCCTAGCTCCAAACTGGGCCAGCTGCTTTCCCCATAAAATCTAGCAGTAGCTGTGGGCCGCACGCGGTTGCTGCTCTTCCATCTTTGTAGATCACTCTTTGCTTCTATCGAACTCCTAGTACATGTTCTTTTTTTTCTATCCCATATGAAGAAATCAGAAAAAACATTCTATAAAGAACTTTAAAGATGTTATTTCATTGAATACATAAGGAATTTCAGAGGTATATGACGCACATCTACAACAGGATTTGCATTGCATATTAGCCAAGAAGAGAACAAATATTTCATGTCTTAGAAGATTCAACTCATACGCCGTCTACATGGAATTCTTTGTGGGAATTGAGGCATTACTGAGAATGTTTTGCGTTAGGTTCCAGCCCGCCTCAGTGAAGCTGGTGTCAGGGACGGGAAAGTGGACTCTGAGCAGAGCAGGGACTCTGAGTAGATGCTCTGCAGAAGATCAGGAAGGAGCAGGGAGTGAAATGTTACGAATTCTAGAACTCAGAGAACTGAAGGGAAGGTAGTTGCTTTCTTTTCAAATTATGAAACATTTTAACTTGTGGTAAAATATGTATAACATGATAATTACCATCTTAACCTTGTTGAAATGTACAGTTCAGTTGTGTGAAGTATATTCACATCCTTGTTCCATTATTTTTTCCTAGATATCTTTTCTCAAGTCTGTCTTAAAGTCACGAAATGTCAATGACAGATCCATGGATTGACAGGGGAAAGCCTGGAGGTCCAACAGCCGTAGCCAGGAAAGTATGCTATCTGTGGGAGTCCCCATACTGTGGACATAAATTTGCCCTGTTAAGGGAAAGAACAGCTTCTGGCCCTCAGGTTTCTCCCCTTCTCCTCTCTACACACTAACCAAGGGCTCAGGTCCACTTGTATGCTTTGTATGCACACAAATAAAAGGATTTTATCATTTCCAGGAATTAAAACGGACCTAAAATACTTTTCCACGTCATGGAGATCTACGGAAGCTAAAGTGCAAGCTGAAGTCCAAGAGGTGACGATGAAGGTCAACAGTCATTGCGAAATCTTTGGGCAAAGAAAGACTGTCGAGGAAGAGTAAGATGTTCACCGACACAAATACTGTTGTATGAACCATGTGCCAACCAAAGTAGACAACTGCAATGGCCTTGAGAATATTTTCCACAATATTTGTGGCAAATTCAGTGGGTGCAAAATTGAGCTTGTCCTTCCTGCTTGATTAATCTTTGTGTTTCCTTTCCCTTCCTACATACTTGATTGTAATGTTTCAGTGGGAGGAGGTGGTCCAAGTACTGGCATTGTTAAATTCAATGCTTGCGTCACCTCTGGATTCATTTTCACAGCCTTTTGGCTTTTGGTCATATGACATTGCATTTTTTCTGCCACATGACTAGTCTTTTTTGCTGAATGTCAGTCACTGGTTAAAAAATATTTAGCAATGAATTGAGGCCTACTAGCATGTTATCTTGCTGCAGAAAAGATGGGCGTCTATTTCTGGGGGATGGTCAGGGGTCCTAGCACACCTACACACCCTCTATATCGTCAGCAATTCAGGTTATCGGTGCAGGTTCAGTCCCTGCAAAGGTCAGGGTATTTCCTGTCCACCTCTTTTCCTGGCATGTGACTCTTCCGGGTCCCATCCAGAACCAGTGGACTTCAGTAGGGATCACCTTCACTGACAGACCCTCAATCTGCTTTTTTTCAATCCTCCACATGGTGCAAAAGCTGCTTTGCTTCTTTGCATCTCAGTTAGTGCCTTCTGGAATTCAGTGATGAAACTCAGAGAAATGAGCCCCAAATGTGAGGCTGACCTTTGTCCTGGGTGTCCTTCTTCTCCATCTTGGCCTCATGTCTCTTTACTGCCAGGTTAGCAATTTGATGCTTTCAGTCATGGGTTTTAGATTCTGCTCCACGTCCCCATTGTTCTCATGGGAGATCAGAAGCTTCACATGCACTCATGTCTGCTCCGGAATAGAATGCTTCCTTAGCTTCCCTCCAGACTCAGGTATTGTGTTTCCAGTTCCCAAGTGCACAGCAGGAGTAGTGATGTCCTCACTGGCTTCTCATTTGCATTAAACTGTGAGCTCCTTTAGGGTGGGGACGGGACCCTGCTCCCATTGCATCCTCTGCACCTCACAACACATCCTTGCTTCAGGCCACTCCAGACAGCATGTGCTGAAGGGTGCCCTGGGCGCTCAGAAACAGGTGCATGAACTTTCTCTTTGAAGTGTTTTTGCTCCCGTTTCCTAGAGTTCTTGACATTTTACACTCCTTCATATGAAATCAAGTATCAAGTGAGATTTTTAGAATCAGAACCATGAATCAAGTAGTGTGAGGGCAACACAGCAAACCTACCTTTTCAACCATTTCCTTTTTCTGCCCTCACTCTCTGTGAACCAAACCTTGTTAAAGTCACTCAGCACCAGAGGATGGTTTGCAGTTTGTCATCTATTTTCAGGACACCCTGACTAAAGAGCCATTCGATCATTTCCAATTCAGTAGATGCACCCAGCACTCAGATTGGCCTTTTCTCTCAACCAGGATCTTTAAAGTCCATGAGAAGAGTTCCAGTCCTGAATCATGGACATGTGCAGCAGTGAACCGCAGGGCTAAGGACAGCATGTCCTGGACGGGTCTCTCTGAGGCTGATTGTCTGGGTTCTGGCATCAGCTTCTGATGGAGAATCAGGTCTCCCTATGGGAGGAGTCAGACGAGGAGCGATCCCCTGCTCTGTCCTTACGGGTTTAGTTGTGATGAGCTGGTGAGGTCTGGTTTTCCACACTGAACTAAAATGAGCTTTCGCTGTGCCAGGCACAAGACTGACCCTAGAAGCACACATAGCGCATCTCACAGAAGCTTTTAATAGTTGATATTTACTAAAGAGTAGGAATACAGAGCGATGAAGATGAGCTGGAAATGACAGGTGACTTTCCAGCAGGCCAGAGTGTGCTTTTTCTCTGTCCCTCCATGGAAGGTGTTAACTCTCCCTCCAGTTGTGAGGATCACTTGGTTCATTTATGGGAAGGTTGTCAGGGGACCTTTGAATCACGGCCTTCAGATGCCGGAAGGGAAGAGGGAATCCCACACAGGCCAGTGGATCGTGTGCGTGCATCTCTCTCCCTTCTCGACTCAGGAAACTGAGAATGAAAGAACGTGAGCGAGCAGAAAGGGAGAGGCGGCTGTCAGAGGTGGAAGAAACCAGGAAATTGGCTCTAGAAAAAATACCCATCTGCGAGTGAGTTCAGAAACCCACACCAGCCTCTTGGGAAAGCCCCGCTGCGGTGTTTTGCTTTAAATTTTTGTACAATGTTTAGACCCAATTAACACAAAAATGGAAACAAATGGTCAGAAGAGATCCAGAGGGAGAGAATTCACACAAGAGAACACAAAGTACCTTAAGATTTACCAGTGATCAAAACATGTGAAGTAGCTAAATATCTCGACTGCAATGCCGGCCAGACTGTGTGGAAACTCGGTTCATACCAGCCGTTCTAGGGGTGGTGTGAGTTGTCATCATCCTTAGGAAAGCATGTTGTTGTAGGATCAACCCATTCTTCAAAAGGACTGTGCCTGTTCATCAGCTCAGCTGTGTCTGCCCTGTGAAATATGGCAAGGATATTAATTCCAGGAGAATGGAGCTTCATGATAAAAGATGCCCAGTGAAGGATGAATTAGGGACATACTGAAAATGGGTAAGGAAATTGTCAACTCACAACCCAGCAGGCATTAAGTAAAAGAGGAGGAAGCATTACAGCAACAGTTTTGATCATACTGTGCTTTTATAACCATGTGAAATACGTTTTCTATGTACAGATAGATTGTGTAAGGGGTCAGTTGTGAGGACGTCAGGAACATGGCAGATTATTTAAAATCGTACTGAAGATGATGCTTTGTCTGACGAAAGTGATTCTAAACCATAGGAAAACGATTCAAGACAGACAAGAGCTGCGGCGGTGGGTAGAGGACTCGTACAGATGCGAGGTAAGGAGCCTTCCTCCCCGCAGTTGCAGGATCCTTAAGCGCTCATGAAGATGATGCCACAGCCCCTAGACTCTCTCAACACACACTTTCTCAGGTGTTGGCTTTTCCAGATCGCCCCTTCTGCTGCAAGAAAGGTCCTCAACAACTGGGTAAGTTTTTGGGGTTTTTTTCCCCCTCTTTGCTTTTGGGCATAGTCTGCCAAGTCAGGACATGGATGTATTTTTCTCCCCACAGCTCTGTGCCCAAGCCTTGCAGAGGGAGACGGCAGAGAGGAAGGCTGCCTGCAAGCAGCACAGGTAGGTAACTGTGATGGACAAATTTTAAGGATGTTTTTGTTTTAAGATGAACTTTTGAGTGTCTAGTAAAAAACATGGTGTTTTAATTCTTTAGGTCAATTCTTTTTCTCTATCTTCAAGATGGGAAATGATGGAAAAGCAGGGAGTTCCAGAGAGACACATGAGTCAGGAAGCCATAAAGGCTTAAGGGCCAAGGGCTGCAGGGCTGTCACAGTTCTGTTTCCAGAAATAACGAGAGGATGCCGTTGAGCTCCACTGCGGTCGGTCTTATGGCCCAGTAGACCCTGCTGATCCCTTTTACTCACGATGGTGTGGAGTCCCCTTCCCAAAATATGCGGGGTTTCTTTTTGTTGCTGGGATTTTCTTTTCTGTGATAAGGTAGGTAATTAACCTTCAGAATATCCGCCATAATCCCAGAAGTGAAAACTCATCGATCCAACGTTAATATGTGCTTTGTGCAATTTTGAATGTTCTTTGGCAAAGTCAATTCCATAGTTCATCACAGTCCCGTCTGTTCCTAACTGTGTTGAGCAAGAACGGCCCCACCCTCACCCAGTGTTGCCCTTGATCTAATATTCTAAGTGTCAGAGGTTCCATATTTTAATAGAAAATGTGCTCCGGCTGTGAGGTGGTGGAGAGTGGACGTCACTCATTGCCTACAGGCACAATTCCCAACAAAGGCCTTAACTGATGCTCAGCCGAGCTGGTTCTCGTGTGGCTTCTGTGTCTCCGACAGCTGCTGAATCCTCTGATCACACACCATGGGACTCATACACTTGAAATCAAACACATTTTTAAACTGTTTCTGTTGTTGAGAATTCCCACCTCATTTTTCTATGGACAAAATTATCCTTTATGTCATAGTGCACTTAAAATTTGGTATTACCTAGAAGTTAAAGAAATATGATAGCCGTGCCAAACTGATATCTGTATGTAGGATTATTCTGTCAGAAAACCCTCTCCCAGTTCCCCTGCAGCTCTTCAGGAATCCCCATCTCCCCAGAGCTCTTTGTGCCCATGGATGGCACCTCCAAAATGCGGAAGACCCTTTGTCAAGAAGGGAAGCAGAAGGGGGACGAGAGGGTCTTGCAGACAGAGCTGGAATGGACTTCCACTCTGCTTCTTGCCAGCTGTGTGATGCTGGGTGAAATTTCTCCTTCCTCTGGGAGCCTCTGTTTTCTTAGATTTGCAGCAGGGTGGTCACACTGACCTTGCAGATTTCTGAGAATCAGAGACCGCACATGAAAAGCCTGGAGGCCATTCTCTTAAGAGTAGCCGCGACTCATGTGTGGACAATGGGCTTTTCATACTTTCCTTTCTCTCTGTTTATCTGATGCAAGGAACATGCTCTGGTGATGGTGGTGAGGGAGGAATGAGGATAGACATAGACACCCCTGTGTCAGAAACATGCTTCTTTGTTACTGGGTTATGACTCTGTCTTCCCAGGGACAGGCCCCCAGCCTGCCTACATTTGCAGACAGAGTAGTGTGTGGGGATAGCAGTTTGTCCCCATGACTTTTCTTCACTCCCCTGCCATTGGCAGGACTCGGTTGAGGGGAGTTGTTTGTTTGTTTTCTTTTTTGTTTTTGTTTTTTTTGGGTGGGGGGGCATTGATGCTGGGGCATTTTGAAACCTGGAGAAGGGAAAGGTGCAAGGGACTATCACCTGCGGCATAAGGTGCAACTTGTGTTGGTTTTGGTGTTTTTGTCCATCATATTCATATATTTCAAAACATTTTCTCCTCCTGACTTGCAGGTCAATGAGGCTGCAGGGAAGCCTCATCCTTTCTCAGAATAGCCCTAGTTGCCCGATCTCATAGCTGGCCCTTCAGGATCACTGATGGGCTGCCAGCCGCCTCCTCCACCTGGGTGTCATCTGGGAACTCAACCACTCCCTCCATCTGGAGGTTTTCTGGGACCTCAACAAACTCCTCCACTGGAGTGTCCTCTGGGAACTCAACCACGTCCTGCACTAGAGAGTCCCCTGAAAACTCAACCACCTCCTCCACTCGAGTGTTCTCCGGGCCCTCATCCAGCTCCTGCAGCTGTCAGTCCTCCAGGACCTCATCTGCCTGCTGCAGTTGCCTGTCTTTCCAGATCTCATCCACCACCTGCAGCTGTCAATCCTCCGGGACCTCAATCACCTGCTGCACCTGTTGGTCCTCTGAGACCTCATTGACCCGTGGCATGCGTCTGTGCTTCGGGACTTAATCCACTGCCTGCAGCTGTCAGTCCTCTGGAACCTCATCCACCTCCTGCAGCTGTTGGTCCTCTGGGACCTCATCCACTCCCTGCAGCTGTAGGTCTTCTGGGACCTCACCCATCTCCTGCAGCTGGTGGTCATCTCGGACCTCATCCACCTCCTGCAGCTGTAGGTCTTCTGGGACCTTATCCACCTCCTGCAGCTGTTGGTCCTCCAGGACCTCATGTACCTCCTGGACTTGTAAGTCTTCTGGGACCTCATCAACATGCTACATGTGTCTGTATTCCGGGAACTCATCCACCTCCTGCAGCTCTTGGTCCTCCCAGACCTCATCCACGTCCAGCATGTGTCTTCCCTCCAGGACCTCATCCATCTTTTGTAGCTGCCTTCTTCTGGGACATCATTCACCTTTTTGTTCTGTGAGGCCTCTGGGACCTCCGACTACATCTCCACTTAGTAACCTCTGGATCCTCAGCCACCCCTTCTGGGTGGCGTCTGGCCCCTCAATAACCACCTTCACATGAATCTCCTCAGCTGCTTCAATAATCTCCACTCGTGGGCCCTGGGACTTCAGCCACCTCCTCCACCAGGGTCTCCTGTAGTACATCTGCCACCTTCTCCATAAGCCATTTTGGATCAAAAAGCCACCAAAACGAACATGCAGCTCAGAAAGTTAAAAATGGAAAAGAAACACAAGGAAAGCAGAGAAATAGAAATGAGATCAAAACGAATGAAAATATCTCAAACTGTGAAGGCTTTGATGTAAAAATCCAAAAACAATTTAAAAAATGGCTTCTTTCCTTTCTTTTAAGAGAGGAGAAGAAATATACAATTAAAGATGAAAACAAACAGAAAACCAAAGACATAGAAGAGAACTAAGTTCAGAGCTGCTTTGTAGAGCTCAGTGCTGGAGGTGGAGAGAGCTGGAGGTGCCTGCTGGGAGGGGCCAGGCAAGCCCAGGAAATGGGAGTGGGGTCAGCCTGGTGGCGGTTGGGAGGTGGGTCCCTGAAGCTTGGGTTACTTTTAGCCCAAGGATGAAGATGGAACAGCCCTGGGTCATCTATACAGGTCGAGCCCTCCACCCCACCCCACCCCACCTATTCTCCCGAGGAGGGCATGGGTACCATGCCAGGGGGCCTGGAGAGGGTTGCAGAGCCCTGGAGGAGGCCAGGGCCAGGGACTGCCATGGGAAGTGGAAAGGCAGTGGCCCCCACTCTTCCCAGAGAGGCTTCTGGGAAGCCTGGGCAGAGCCCGGGAGTCCAGGGCTGCCCCTCCTGCTGGAGAATACACACAGTTCAGAACTGAAGGAATCGCAGAACTTCACAGCCCAGGATCCCAGGACTTCACAGCCCAGGATCCCAGGACTTCACAGTAGTTCCTGTTTGGTCCCAGGACTGCAGCTCAGAACAGTCCTCCCAGCAGCAGACCAGAGCAGTGTCCCAGGCAGATCTTGAAGTGGGAGATCAGCTGGCTCCACCTCTGTCCATCTGCCCAGACCCCACAATCTGCTCTTGAGTAGGTGGTCCTCCAAGTGTTTTCCTGCCAGAGCCTCAGTTTCCTCCTGCGTCTTGGATTACTAGTGAATCCGAGAAGAAATTCCTGTCCTCTCAGGCTGCTGCAATTGGCTCTGCAGTTGCAGCCTTGGCCTGTGAAGGAGAGGGCTCCTCCCAGCCAGACCCTGTCCCCAGGGCCTTTCTGTAGGCACTAAACACTCTACTGCAGAGGCAGCCACCTCAACCCTGGGGCAGGAGAGAAGCCCTGCTTTGGTGGCCCAGAATGGATACTTTCCTAAGATCCACCCACCCCATCCCCAGTCCAGCTCGCACACACTGACCTTGCCCTCCTGGGGTCCTATCCCTAGGCCTAGGAGCAAAGTGCTTGTCTCTCTGTTACCTCTGTTGAGTCAAACTAGGCAAACATGACATTTACATTTCAGAAAAGAACCCACATTTTCACCGGAAAGTTTGTACCAAGTTATACCCATCAACTGTGTTTGGGGATGTCTATTTCCTTATATCTTTCAGCCTGGATTTAACAAACCTTTCCTTTCCCTCTCTTTTTTTTTTTTTTTTTCCATCTGTTTGCCAAAATACAAGGACATTTTTATTTTATTTTTTTGAGACAGAGTCTCGCTTGTCCCAGGCTCACTCCAGCCTCACAAGCTCATACAAGCTCACCTCCGGGTTCCTTATTCTCCTGCCTCAGCCTCCTGAGTAGCTGGACTACAGACATGCATGTACAATCTACCCAGCTAATTTTTTGTGTTTTTAGTAGAGATGGGGTTTCACCGTGGTCTCGATCTCCTGACCTTGTGATCCGCCCGCGCCTCGGCCTCCCAAATTGCTGGGATTACAGAGTGAGCACTCGCCCAGCAATGTTGTGCAAAGTGTTTATTTTTTAAACAATTAATTAGAACAACTTACTGTCTTGACTTTCTCCATTTCTTTGATTATGTTACTTATTCCTATCATCCAGTTTTCCATTTCCTACTAGGGCTTGTGTTGCTTTCTTTACTAGGGCTGCAGTTAGTTACACTGATTGCAAATATTTTCTCTATCACTTATCTTTTACCCTTACTTGTGGCTTTTCCTAATGCACAAAATTTGTTTGAAAATCAGATTAGGCAAGTGTTATGGAGTCAGTGTTTGTGTCCCCATCAAATTCAGATGTTGAAATCCTAACCTCCAGTAGCAGTGTGGAGGAGACTGAGTGCTTTCTCAGAAACAGAGACCCTCATGAATGGGATTTAGTACCTTATCCACATACTTTTAACTCTCTCACCTTCTTTCTGCCGTGTGAGGATGCATTGAGAAGTTGGCCATTTGTACCCAGGAAGTGGGACCTCTCCAGAACCAACCATGCTGGCACCCAGCTCTCAAACTTCAGTTACAGAACTGTAAGTAAATTTCTCTGTTTGCCAGGCCACCCACGTTTATGTTATTTTGTTATAGCAGCCTGAAAAGACTAAGACAGCAAATTGTTGGCTTCTGATTTTCATCCTGTCCATGAGAGTCACATGAAAGTCTGGCAGGCTATCAGGACTGTTTCTTGAGTTATAACTCTCCTGTTCTACATTAGGTTGGTTTCTTCTTCCCATTGAATTATTAATTTACCGTTGCAACATCATTGAGCAGGGTGTGAACCAAACTCAGACTGGTGTTATTCCTTCTTTCTCCAGACGTTCACTATTGGAGGCATTATGGTAGGAAGGAAGAAGACCTCATGGAGCCAGGGACCACGTGTGTCACATTGCCTCTTACGCTGTGCCTGAGTCTTAACACTCTAGGGAATTTGCCACAGGCATGAGATTATTCTGAGTTCCCACCCCCATGCCTTCATCCCAACTGACCCTGCTGAGCTAATTCTTTTCCCTGACTCTCCTCTCATCCCCCATTTCCTCCATCCACACAACTCAAAGCACCTCCTGTGCTTTTCAGACCAAGTTCCCACCTCCTGAGCCTTCATCCCTCCTCTCTCCTCCCTCAATGGATATTGCCTTTCTCTAGGACCTCTAAGAAAACAAAGTGTCTCCCTCATTGACTCTATTATATAATTCATAAAAGGTCCAGGCTTGCTTCGATGAGTGATCAATTGTACGGGAGGCAAGCATTTAAAAATAATAATAAGTACTGCATTCCTCCAAGAAAAGTGTAAGCCAAGGCCCCAGAGTGTGGCAAGGCAAGGGTTAAAATGAAAAGATAAACAAGTTTTTCCTCTGCCTAGCAAGCTCACTTCCAAGGTTGATTTATAAGATAGCGCTGTTCGAGGAAGTTGAAACCAATGGAATAGGCTCCAGACACCCCACCTCAGGAGCAAGGATGAAGGAAAAGAAAAAAAAAAAAAAAAGGACAAATATTTAGTCAGTTTCAACCCATTTTTCTTTCATTTGTGAAGGCCACCAGCTATGCAAGGCCACAAGTTATGTAAGTCATCAGTTATACTATAGGTGCTGACCTGTCAGATATATGATTAACTGCCTTTGTTTTGCTTCTGTGGTTGCTTACTCAGAATCTCTCAGTCTTGTTCAGGAAGCTCAGCTTTTTGGATGTGCATCCACTGAGCTGGTGTGCACCTTAAAATAAATGCCTTCTGTGTTTACCCATACTAGTCTCTCTAGTCCCTCTGTGACCTGCAACAACATAAATCCCTATAGTCACAGTACTGTAATCTGTAACAAGGAGGTCATTTAAAAAAACAGCTCTGTGGAATGATTGACATTTACATCTCTGAGCAGCTGAGCATAGCAAGACCTGCAAGAGGCAAGCAGGATCCTTGTGTCTTGCAGAATTATCTTTGCTAAGAGAATCAGGAGGTAGAACAGATGGACACACCTCAAATTCATTCTCACAGTATGACCCATGCTACACCAAGCACCTACTCTGTGCCAAGCCCTGCATTGAAGGCAGGTGTGAGACAGCACCAGATAATTAGATGACCTTGAAGCCCCAAGTCCTATGGGGGCAAGAAATATAATAAACAAGCACTGATATCGATAAAAATTTCAACCTTTCAGAGTAACTGTATGTGATGATGGATGTATTTATAATTTGATTGTGAAATTGTTACAGTATACATATAATAAATCATTGTATACCTTGAATACATACAATTTTTATTTGTCAATTATACCTTAATGAGACTAGGGAAAGAGATTTTCTTACTTGGGTTGATACATCATCTTCAGAGTGTGAGCAATAGAATTATTGCCATAACATCATTAATAATTAATGAAATGTAGTCAGCCCAGGATCCCAGGACTTCACAGCCCAGGATCCCAGGACTTCACAGCTCAGGAACAGTCCCTCCAGAGCAGCGGGAACCAGGCAGTGTCCCAGGCAGATCTCGAGGAAGTGGAGGGAGATCCAGCTGGCTCCCACTCTTAGCTCCCATCCTGCCCACAGATACAATCTGCTCTCTGAGTGGGTGGTCCTCCAAAGTGTTTTCCCCTGCCAGAGCCTCAGTTTCCTCCTGGTCACTTGGGATTCTGACAGACTCCGAGGAAGGGAATTCCTGTCCTCTCAGGCTGCTGCAATTGGCTCTGCAGTTGCAGCCTTGGCCTGTGAAGGAGAGGGCTCCTCCCAGCCAGACCCTGTGTCCCAGGGCCTTTCTGTGGGCACTCCTGAAAACACTCTAGAGGCAGCCACCTCAACCCTGGGGCAGGAGAGAAGCCCTGCTTTGGTGGCCCAGAATGGATGCTTTCCTAAGATCCACCCACCCCATCCCCCAGTCCATTCAGCACACACTGACCTTGCCCTCCTGGGGTCCTATCCCCTAGGCCTAGGAGCAAAGTGCTTGTCTCTGTCTTGATGCCACCTCTGACCCCAAGGTCAAACTAGGCAAACATGACATTTACATTTCAAGAAGAACCACATTTTCACCCGGAAAGTTTGTACCAAGTTATACCCATCAACTGTGTTTGGGGATGTCTATTTCCTTATATCTTTGCCAGCCCTGGATTTAACAAACCTTTCCTTTCTCCCTCTCTTTTTTTTTTTTTTTTTTTTTGCCATCTGTTTGCCAAAATACAAGGTTGCATTTTTTTATTTTTTATTTTTTTTTTGAGACAGAGTCTCGCTTTGTCCCCCAGGCTCACTGCAAGCTCACTGCAAGCTCACTGCAAGCTCCGCCTCCCGGGTTTACGCCATTCTCCTGCCTCAGCCTCCTGAGTAGCTGGACTACAGGCGCCCGCCACCGTGCCCGGCTAATTTTTTGTATTTTTAGTAGAGATGGGGTTTCACCGTGGTCTCGATCTCCTGACCTTGTGATC